GGGTTGAATCATTTAACATTAAATTCAATTGATGGTTCGCTATTGCTATTTATCTCTTGCAAGCAATTGTGATGTATCACCTACCAGTCTACAATTAGTCCAATCTAAATATCGATATAATAAAATCATAAGTAAATTCTTTTATTAGAAATGCAAAAGTCATTGTTGACATACAGTACCACCTGAATACTGCTACGTACAGTACGTAGCCGGAAGCCCATTAACATTTAAGTTATGTATTGCATTTTTCAACTTATTAGTTATCCTTTACGTACGTACGTGAAATGTCAGGAAAGTTTGCATAAAATCTTGATCGATAATATGATCGAATCGATAGATTCATTTTGTATATGATATCAATTATCAAAATGATGTTTTTTTGTTGATACATTACATTATTATGCAGCATAAGAATAATAAAAATTATTTATTAATCCATTTTCATTCTCGCAATATCTTCATATTTACAAACATTTAAGATTCTTCAAAGATGATTAAATTCGTACTTTTGTTGCTCACGATCCTCGCACTACTCTTATCAAACGTGAAATGCGAACCTGAAAATAACCAAATAAATGATCTCTCTACTCGAGATCCATGGTTACTTGATAATGATCATTTTTCTTCTCCATTCGATGAATTTATGACTTCAAAACAAGATGTTCATTCAAATCCTTTCCAAGCGATAGATGATCTTGTAGATATGTCGATTGGAGCTACTGAGGCGATGTTAGATTCTTTAAATTTTGATAACTTTAATGATGAGGATTCTTCTGTTACTACCATTGAAATTACCATCGTAGGGTCACCTGATTTGCCAAGTAACGAAATTGAATTTCCTGAAATAGATGATATATCGAAGATAACTCTAGATGACGAGTCTATTCAAGATCAGCAAAATGAGCAATATGATCCTTTTATGGATTTGTCATTCCAAGGTTGCGAACCTGACGACGAAAACTCGATGATTCCTACTATTGTTTCTCTAGAAATTCCTCAGGATTCATATTCATATAAAGGTGATAACGGTGATAATGATGATGAAAACGATTCATTCTTCAACCAATCCATTTTAGATTATCTGTTTAGCCCATTGTTTGTGATTTTTATAGTTGTAGCTGCTTTAGTGGCCGTTATTCCTGTTATTCTTAGCATAATAAGAGGAAAGAAAGAAAAAAAATACGAATATTTTGTTGTTCACGCTACTGATGAATGTCAAACTGCAGATTTAGAAAGTGCGACATGTGTAAAGAAATAAGTTCTATTCTGGTTTTATTTGTTCATAGTCTACAAATAATTAGATGATGAGAGTTTTATACGTAGTGATTTTGTGTTTTTTATACTCTATATTATATAATAATAAAAGTTTTTATTATCTCTGTTTACATTATTATGCAAATAGAAATTATCTCGCGCCCACTTTACATTACATACTGTTTGTCGTTTCCATTATTAACACAAATGAACTGCGCGGTACGAGATATCAGATGTCAATCATTGAATTTTTTGTTTTTTTTTGTTTTGTGAATTGCGTGAATTGCTTTGTGGCGCGATGATATAGTATTCAAGTAATAAAAGACGCGTATTCGTACAAAACAAAAAGCCCATAATTGCGTTCTCATCAAAGTTAGTAAAACCGATAAAGATAGGAAATAAATTATGTATAATATGTAGTTTATTCATTTTTAATTTTAAAGATACCTTTTCTGTTAATTATACACAAAGTACAAGAATGAAAAAGTGGGATTAATTGTAAAAAAGCGAATGAAAAAAACAAAATTGAAAAAATGAAAACAATTTAAAAATTTTATTTGTATTTTTTATTCAAGCTCTAAAATATTTTAAATTGTAATTAGTTAAATTAAAATATTAAAGTTTATATCGTAATTATCGTCGCATCTTTTCTGATAATACGTCTAAATTTTTTTTTTTTGTTTTTTTTTTTTTGTTTTGTTTTTATTTATTTATTTATTTATTTATTTTATTTTATTTTTTGTTTATTTTTTTATTCTTCTTTACAAGCAAAACCTACGAGATGACGGGTCCAGCCGAAAGAATTTCAGATGTAGCCTGATCTTCGTAACTCTTAAAGTTTTTGATGAACCTTTCAGCTAATGAATTTCGAGTATGTTTAAATTCTTCTCCACTACCTTTCCAAGTCCTTGAAGGATTTAATATATCAGATGGAACACCCGTACAAGATTTCGGAATTTGTAAATTAAATACACCATAAGATTCATATTCGGCTTTGGACAGTTCGCCGGAATGAATTGAATCAATGATGGCACGGGAGTATTTAAGCTTGATACGTTCACCAACTCCATAAGCACCACCCTGCCATCCTGTATTAATCAACCAAGCATCAGCAGAATGTTGTTTCATTTTTTCAGCCAACATCTTTGCATAACGTGCAGGGTGAAGCACAAGGAAAGGTTGCCCAAAACAAGCAGAGAACGTAGCTTCCGGTTCGGTAACACCTTCTTCTGTTCCTGCAATCTTGGCCGTATATCCAGAAATAAAGTGATACATGGCTTGAGCTGGTGATAATTTTGAGACAGGTGGAAGAACACCATATGCATCACATGTCAATAAGATAATATTTTTTGGATGACCCGATGAAATACAAGGTAATTTGGCATTAGGAATGTATTCAATCGGATAAGCACAACGCGTATTTTCTGTTAATGAACTGTCATCATAATTTACAATACGAGTATGACGATCATAAACGACATTTTCCAAAACTGATCCAAAACGAATGGCGTTGTAAATTTCTGGTTCCTTGTCAGAAGATAAGCCAATACATTTTGCGTAACAACCTCCTTCAATGTTAAAGATACCGTCATCTGACCAACAATGTTCATCATCACCGATCAAGAGACGCTTGGGATCAGCAGAAAGTGTAGTCTTGCCAGTTCCAGATAAACCAAAGAAAATAGAAACATCTCCTTTATGACCTTCATTCGCTGAAGAATGCAGTGATAAAACATTATGTTTTACAGGCATTATATAATGCATTACGGTAAATCTATGTGTATAGAAAAATTATAAATAATTAATAATGATAAATAATGATAATAAAATATATATATATAATTAAAATAATAACTAAAATAATTATGTTATAATAAAATACATACACTCCTTTTTTCATTTCACCAGCATATTCAGTACCCAAGATAACCATCTCGTTTGTATGAAAATTAAGTGCAACGGATGTTGTAGATGTCATACCGGTGGTGTAACGATTTGCGGGAAAAGCACCGGCATTATAAATGGTAAAATCGGGTGAACCGTAGGTTTCAAGTTCCTTAAGCGTAGGACGAATCAACATGTTTCGCATGAACAATGCGTGATAAGCACGTGCGGAGACCACACGAACTTTAATTCGATATTTTGGATCCCACCCCGCAAAACCGTCAAAGACGTAGATCCTTTTACGAGTATTTAAATAATCTACAGCACGTTCACGATTAATGAGGAAAACATTTTCGGGCAATTTCGTGTTGACAGGTCCCCACTTATAAAGTAAATGATTGACAGTAAAACGCGCCAAATTTAGTAAAGGATAGGTTGATTAAAATAACTTTTAACAAAAAAAAAATTCCCCTACCCAAATATCACTAGAAGAATCAGGTTCGTCAACGATACGTTTATCTTTTGGAGAACGTCCAGTTTTGAGACCAGAAGCGGTTACCAAAGCACCAGATGAAGCGATGGCGGATCCATCTTCATATTTCAAAGCGTCTTCATACAATTTAGCGATCGAAGGATTCCATTTAATAGCTACACGATCATAATCGATGTGAGCTTTTTCGTGAAGCTCTTCTTCGACTCTGGTGTGTACTTTTGAATTAGAGGAATAACTCTTTCTATGAATTGAACGATTAGATTGACAATTATAAGATAACCGAGTGTTCAAAGCATTATTTGGGAATTTTTTTAAAAATGTATTAGTTAACAGATGAGGTTTATGTACAAAACGGTGTAATGAATTCATTGATACTTTAAGTGAGAAATAATAATCATGAAAAAAACCAAAAAGTTAAAGCCCTGGGGACCACAACTATATATATTATTGTAAATCATGCATTGCGGAATATTTCGGCGAGTGAACAAATATTTTCACTGGCACTCTCGGAGGACTGAGTCATTTAATAACCTCACCGCCGAAAAATTCCGTATTACCGAAATAAAAAAGCAAACAATTTTACAGTACATTTACTATAATTACCATATTTACTACTGCAGATCTAATTTGACATAGCAAAATGTCTCACGAACCTAGTGTAACGTAGATGGTAAACCCGACTCTCGTATAACGATACGCACATGTGGTTAGAACCCGTTACTATGATCACGTGATACAAACGAACTCTCTCTCAATGGTTATAGGATAATTGTATATTACCGTTACAGTCAAACCTCTATAGCACCCCTCTATCGTCACAAAATCCATATAATCACAGTTTTATTTTTACCATCCTTTTTTATATTAATTATAGGAGTGCTGCAGAGCAAAAAATTATAGTAAATCATTATGATCATTTACAGGTTTCGCAATCACTATCACATTTTTTTAAAAAACCAATTATATAAAATTATTCACAATATATATAGTCATTTTATTAATATAGATATTAACTTCCGGTTTACTAAAGATAAAATATATTATTGGGCTACAACATATTAAAATTTCGGCCGATTTGGTTTAGTTTATTAGTTGTTGAGAAAATCAGAGCCGGAGGTTAATACGTATAAATCTAAAATATACAAAAGAAAATCAAAATATAATTTTATATTAACCTCGACTCCGATTTCTCAACTAAACCAAATTGGCTGAAATTTTTACTGAAGATAAATATGTTAATGAGCTACAACATATTAGTAGTTTTTAAGAAATTGCTTAAAAGCTATAAATGATTTTTTTTAAAAACAATTATTGTTTTTTGAGAAATTTTTTAAGAACTGATTCAAATTAGCTAAAATTTTGATTATCTTCAGTAAAAATTTTAACCAATTTGATTCAGAGAAATTAAGGCCAAAAGTGTTAATATAAAATTATAATTTTTATATTTTTAATATTAAAAATTTTTTTGTTTTAATAAAATCTATGGTCACAAAGATTTTGTTTTTAACATAACTGTGACTATATAAAATGCCCTCTATATTAATCACACCTTTATGTAATTACCATCTTTTGTATTTCAAAGGTATGACTATAGAGAATATTTCTTTTTATTTTATCTTATTTTATCTTATTTATTTATCTATTGCTATTTATTCGTGCATTGCATAAGATCGTTACGCATAGGATCGTTATGCACAAATTAATAGGATAGTACATATTAGTTCTAAAACGGGAAAATAAGGGTTAAAGGATAAATAGTTTTAAGAATAATAATCTAAAAACCAAATATATAGTTAGAATGTTAGTAAATTTTTTCTTATAAAAATGCTTGTAAAAGATTTGTAAAAAGACATCGTCCACTACCTCAAGCTCAATTTTATCTAATAAAAGCCTCTTCGTCTTGAATTTCTCTCAACAAACCTATCCACTCGGCCACTCGTCCCACACTAGTGCCAGTGTTTAAAATCGATGTTCGCGTGTTCTCTGAGAATACAACAATTTTTATGAACATAAATGATTGGAAAATATTTTCTATTTAAGAACATTTAACAAATTTTTTTAATATTAAAAAATTTTAACTTTCTAATAGTGAGAACATCAAAAAATTTTTGAGAACTTCCAAGAATTCAAAGAATGCTTTTTTGAGAACATCAAATTAAATTTGAATTTTAAATACCGACTAGTACTATAAATAATTCGTAAATCGTAGTTTAATATTTCATCAACCACCTTTAATATGTTTAATAATTCCAACATTTCAAAGGGCATAGAAATTTTATCAATTCCATTTGATCACTCAAAATGGGATTATTCACAATTAACGGATCCAAATAATTTTCAATGGAAAGTTGGAATCACACCGTTCTCTAATTTACAAGTATGCTAAAGATAATAATTAATTCAAAATAATTC